TTACCATGTCCCCTCTCAGCCGTATCTTCTCCAGACTAAACAAAGCCAATTCTTTCAATCTTCCCTCAGAGGTCATGTTTTCTAGACCTTTAATCATTGTTGTTGCTCTTCTCTGGACTTTCTCCAATTTGTCCACATCCTTCCTGAAATGTGGCCCCAGAACTGGACACAATACTCCAGCTGAGGCCTAATCAGCATGGAGTAGCGCAGAAGAATTACTTCTCATGTCTTCCTTACAACACTCCTGCTAATACAAAAAAAGCAAACATCATTCTGGGATGTAACAGTGTTACAGTGTTGACTCATATTTAGCTTGTGATCCACTATCACCCCCAGATCCCTTTCCACAGTACTCCTTCGTAGGCCGTCATTTCCCATTCTGTACGTGTGCAACTGATTGTTCCTTCCGAAGTGGAGTACTTTTTATTTGTCCTTATTGAAGTTCATCCTATTTACTTCAGACCATTTCTCCAGTTTGTCCAGATCATTTTGAATTTTAATCCTGTCTTCCAAAGCACTTGCAACCTCTCCCAGCTTGGTATCATTTGCAAACTTCATACGTGTACTCCCTATGCCATTATCTAAATCACTGATGAAGATATTGAACAGAACCTTACCCAGAACTGATTCCTGTGGGACCCCACTCGTTATGCCCTTCCAGCATGACTGTGAACCACTGATACCTACTTTCTGGGAACGATTTTCCAACCAGTTATGCACCCACCTTATAGTAGCTCCATCTAAGTTGTATTTCCTTAATTTGTTCATGAGAAGGTCATGCGAGGCAGTATCAAAAGCCTTACTAAAGTCGAGATATACCACATCTACCACTTCCCCCCTATCCACAAGGCTTGTTACCCTGTCAAGGAAAACTGTCAGGTAGGTTTGACACGATTTGTTCTTGACAATGAGCCCATTGCTGTGATATCTGAGGATCTGTCTACGCAGCAAATTAAAACCCATGGCTGGCCCGTGCCAGCCCACTTGGCTCATGGGGCTCGGGTTGCTGGGCTGTTTCATTGCTGTGTAGACTCCCAGGCTCGGCCTGGAGCCTGAGCTCTGGGAGCCTCCCACCCTGCAGGATCCTACAGCCTGGCCTCGAGCCCAAGCCCAGAAGTCTACACAGGTCCTTCAGACCACAGCGCGAATGTGGATTCCACCTAGCTTACCCCCGACGGGTCTAATTTGTGCAGGGAACGTTTCAGAGACAGGTAACTGCCTGTGCCAGGACGGTGAAAGCCCGAGCCCAAGGGAGCGTAAGCCCATGTGGCTCCACTGATTTCAGTGGAGCTCTGCCAGCTGAGGTTTGCACCCTGAGTTCTGGCAGGTTCTTGTGCACTGATCCCCGAAGCCCTCCTTGGTGTCATTGTTCTGCTCAGGATATGTGGCACTGTGTAGTATGGATGATTTAGTTGGTGTTGGTCCTGCTTTGAGCAGGGGATTGGACTAGATGACCTCCTGAGGTCCCTTCCAACCCTGATATTCTAGGATTCTATCCCATCAGTATTGAGAATGAAATCCTTTGTGTTGTGGAAGGATATTCACGGGACTTGAAACGTCCAGGGAAGAACAAAATGCCCTTGTCACTGGTTGAGACCGACTTCGCCAACTGAAGTGTTATGCGCTTGCTGGCATCGGCAGCAAATACGTTTCTGAACTTCTAATGCAGCCTAGTGGATTGGGGAGTGGGAGAGGTGCAGCAGGGAGTTGCACACAAAACACTGCTGAATGCAAACACATCAAGATCAGTTTCCAGCACAGATTAAATCTCCCCACATCCTGGGCAAATGATACAACCAGCTCTCTCCAAGCCTGACAAACCCAGCTGGTTCTGAATCATTCTGCGACAGCAGTCACTGCAGCAAAGGGCATTATCAGCATTGGGAATCATAGAATCATAGAATATCAGGGTTGGAAGGGACCTCAGCAGGTCATCTAGTCCCACCCCCTGCTCAAAGCAGGACCGAAAAGAGACACTGAACAGCTGAAGAGGAAGAAATGGCTTTCGTGTGCATGAGAGATCACTTCACATGTCCTCCGAGACAAAACCCAACCTCTCAGGCACAAGGCACCCACTGTGGTAAATCTAAATGCAGATCAGCCTGTGGGTGATGGCCGCCTGGCTACATCCTTTCACAGCAGCCTGAGCCAGGTAGGAGGGGGTTGAGGGGAGCCCGTCTCATGCCCTGAAAGGTTTATATGTCCGATACAATGCTTGTTTCTGTCGTCCAAGTTGAGATTGACGGTCCTTGGCTTTCCTTCCTGCGCTCTTGGGGTGTTTATCGAGATTTATGGAGCCACGAGGGCTGGGGAGCAGTCAGCCTCTCTATGTTCACAAGTAAGGTAAAGCCAGACCCCTGCTTTGTGGTGTAGGGTGTAGCCGTCCTTTATCAGCATGGCTGTCTGCTGCATTTCGAGTTAGTTCACTGAGGTTTGGAGCCGACCTTCTCCAAATTGGGATTCCTCAGCATGTCTTGACTCCTGAATGTGTGACAGCCTTCCTAACCTGTCAGGAAAATTTACTCAGCCCCACTAACACATCTCCGTGCCCCCCGGTTACCATAGTGACTGACAGTCACGGAAAACCACAATTCTCTTTTACGTGGCCATCCACCAAGACCAACCCCCCACCACACCGTGGGCAGTGCTGACTTGGGAGCTCTTCCAAAGTACAAAGGATTGTTCAGGATTGCGGAGTTCATTGGCCTTGAGCCCAGAACTTCAGTATTGCCATTTTTACGTAGGTTTCTTTTCCCCTCTGGCCCTGCCATGTGAAGAAATAAAGACAACTGACACTTACCCAGCCCAAGGGGACACAGTGAAGTCAGTGGCAGATGGAGCGCAGATGAGAATGAACCCCAGGGAGTCCTCATGTACGGTCCCCTGATCTAATCCCAAAACATCACTCCCTGGTCACAATCCCTCCCCTTAATGGGAAGCAGAGACTGGGATGAGGCTTTAGGCTTTCTTTGTGAAAATAAATGCCCCTAAAGCAAATAGCATAAAGCTTCATCATGCATATAGCAGTCAGTCACTGACCGAGCAGTCTGCTTTGTTAACAACTCTGAAGTCCTGACCTTGTATAAATCAAGTAGCCTGGACCTCATGGTTCTAAGTAGCTTATCAATGTATTGGTCACAGTTGGCCTTGTCCATGATGTATTTGTCCCATTCAGCTTTGACCATGATGCTGGTTAGCCAATGTTTTGGACTTACAGAATGAGGTTTTCAGTAGCACTCAGCATTGGCCTGACTGTTTCCAGGGAAGTCCCATAGAAGTTTTACCATAGATTTCATGAGAAGCAGCATTAGGCCAATGCTGTGTGCTTCTGAAAACACCAGCCAGAGAGTTTAAAGGGAAATAATTTTAAAAAATCTAGTTTCACTTTTCACTCTTTATGCCGTTTGCTATCTGCACTCTGAAGAATGACATGACACCGCTCAGATTGGCTTCCTGTTGACAGTCCATTTTGCTAGGTTTCTCCTGCTGGTTTGGGTTTCTCACATTCCAAGGGAATAAACATTCAGTTTTCATTGACATTTTTAGAATCCCAGGAAAAACATTTCTATTCAGATTGGGTCAGATTCTTCAATTCTTACATTTAAGTAGCACTTAGTTATGCAAGCTACTGTTGCTCAGTGCAAGGGTTGCGAAGTCTGTCCCATTAGGTTGTGTTAGCCCTGCTTTTCTCCTTGTTTTTAAATGTCAGTTTTGGGCCAAAATACTTTCCACTGCCCCTTTGAGGAGGAGGATGTGCCAGAAGAGCCTGATCCCTCGAAGGCAATGGGAGACAGCAGGATTGGCCCAAAGAAAATAGGTCTGACGACTCTGGTTTTCTGTCTAGCAATGCTCCTCTGATCTCTGCACATGTGAGAGGCTCTGTGGTAAATCCCCTCCCATGTGTATTGTCATGGTATCTGACTGCACTGCTGCATCTGACTTGGTTTTCTGTGTGACTCACTGTGGTTTTCTGGGTTAGCATGACTAGGAGGCTTTGCACGACCTGACACCTCCCACCAGACACAGCCCTGTTTTCCGTATGTGTGCAGGGCCTGCCCGCTGAGGCAGGATGTGCTGTCACACCGCTAGCCTCTCTCGGCTCGCAGAGGAGAATTAGGAAAGACGGTGGTTAGCCAGCACGGCGGCTTTGGGGTTCACTTGCATTCCGTGTCCCTTTTATTAAGTAGCTTCCATGCTGAGGCAAACGCGGGAAAAGATGCCTGTTAAAGAACAATTAACCTTTCGCCTGTGCTTTGCCTTTATTTCTTTGTTATTGAGGAAGATGAATGTGGGTTTGCTCTGCAGCTTTCCTCCTCCCAGCCCAGCTTCTGCCTCTGGCAGACCCTATAGTGAGCCCCCCTTGGTCCTGCTTTATGAGGTGTGTGGCCATGGGAATGCAGCTCGGGGCTCTGTTTCTTTTCCCATGCTGCTTCCTAGGTCTGGAGCACCCTCCCCAGAGAAGTATGATGTGCCTTCTCCCATGCCAGGTCCTCCCGCTGTTCCACCGGCAGCCTTGCCCCCCTGTTTCCTTGCCTACACTATAATAGAAACAGGTCGCTGTGTAGATGGCAGCCCAGTGCCACTGAATTCTGCAGCAACAGCCCTTAAGTCCTGTGGCAATGTTAACCGATTCTACCGCCGTGAAATACCCTACGTTCCCGGCCCCTGCCGCCCCACACAAATGCACACACAGCTGTGGCATAGAGTTTATCAGGGCGTCATTTTCAGGTAGGATTTCTCTCCATGCTGTCCGGGAAGCCTGGCTCTACCCACTCGCGTCCTGTGATGTTGCCCTGGCAGGGACGCATATCTTGGGGAATTGTAGGAAGAACAGCAAAAAGAAGCCAGGTTTCCAGGTGCCTAGTACTCTGAAGGCAGCATCCCCAGCTCTGTCTCCAATGACGCCGCTAGACACGTTGATTTCAGTGGGAGCAGGAGTGTGTGCAGCTCTTCTTTTCTGCCCACGTGAAAGCTAAGGTGTCTCTTCCTTCTGGCCCTAGAGCGCTGTGATGACTGGGGAGTGGACACCATGAAACAAATCCAGGTCTACGACGGGGAACCAGCTAGGATCAAATGCCCGCTCTTCGAGGCCTTCTTAAAATACAACTACAGTACAGCCCATTCGGCTGGCTTAACCCTGATCTGGTACTGGATTGGGCAGGACCGGGACCTGGAGGAGCCAATCAACTTCCGTCTCCCGGACAATCGGATCAGTAAGGAAAAAGACACCCTTTGGTTCCGGCCTGCCCTTCTCAACGACACTGGGAATTATACCTGCATGCTCAGGTAAGCAGCGCAGTAGGGCGGAGGGCGTCAGACTGTAGGGCACACAAATGCCTTTTATATAACAAGAAAATTGTGTTGCTCGCTTAATATCTTATATCACATAAGAATTAATGGTGAAAATGTGACAGTTACAAGAATTCTCAGTGCCAAGCCCATTTATATTATAATAATGCTTAGCACCTTGCAGACGTTAATGCACATACCTCTCCATGCTAACTGTGAGTGTCCACGGGGAGAATACTGGCAAAATCCACACGCCCCCTCCAGTAAGGAGCAATCTCTATATAGAAGTGGAGATGGCTTCAGAGGCAGGGTAATATGTCAACTGGATGCTAATTTGCCAAAGTTTCCTGACACCCCAAAAGAGTTCCAGGGAATTAAAAACAGCTCCAGGTGCAGGAGAAAATGAATGTAGCATCCCCAAAGCAACAAAGAGGAGATCTCAGTCTGTCTTCCTCTTTCACGTCTTAGCCCCCGTTGTTTTCATTACGTTGGTAAAGGATGGTGCAGTACGTGAGTTGTCTTTGCATGGGGAAAAGTGTCTTTAGGTTTTTCTAATGCACTGTGCGGCTGCTGTGTCTGTCTCAGTGTGTCTGTCTGGAGTTTTCCTACATGCAAATACGACAATAGAGGCTGGATCTATCTCATCAGAGCCGTCATTTCTGTGACCCAAACTGTGACTTTTAATTTCATTTCATTCATAATGCCACATGAATAAACTAGACCAAGCTAATCGTGTTTCCCTCCTCTGTGCTTAGAAACACAACCTATTGCAGCAAGGTCGCGTTTCCCCTGGAGGTTGTTCAGAAAGACCAAACTTCTTGCGTCAGCCAATCAATAAAACCTACTGAAGAGCTGTTCTATTTGGAGCATACTAACGAGAAGATCATTTGTCCAGATATTGATGGCTTTTATCCTCCCAGCGTAACGCCAACTGTCAACTGGTACAGGGTAAGAAAGGGAGTAGTGGGGCTAAGAACCAGGAAGCCAAATTCTACCCCCAAACTCCCTGATGCAACTCCACTGAAGTTACTGGAGCTGCTGCCTCGATCTTGCTCCCTTTGAAGTCAGCAGTGAAACGTCCCTTGCTGGCACTGACGCAGGAGTGGGGCCTAGATTAATCAGACTGGGACTTTTCAGCTTGGAAAAGAGACGACTAAGGGGGGATATGATTGAGGTCTATAAAAATCATGACTGGTGTGGAGAAAGTAAATAAGGAAGTGTTATTTACTCCTTCACATAACACAGGAACTAGGGGTCACCAAATGAAATTAATAGGCGGCAGGTTTAAAACAAACAAAAGGAAGTATTTCTTCACACAAAGCACAGTCAACCTGTGGAACTCCTTGCCAGAGGATGTTGTGAAGGCCAAGACTATAACACGGTTCAAGAAAGAACTAGATAAATTCATAGAGGATAGGTCCATCAATGGCTATTAGCCAGGGTGAGTAGGGATGGTGTCCCTAGCCTCTGTTTGCCAGAAGCTGGGAATGGGCAACAGTGGTTGGATCACTTGCTGATTACCTGTTCTGTTCATTCCCTCTGGGGCACCTGGCATTGGCCACTGTTGGAAGACAGGACACTGGGCTAGATGGACCTTTGGTCTGACCCAGTATGGCCGTTCTTATGTTCTAATAAGGAAGAGTTTAGTCTCAAGGTGGCCTTCTGGAGAGGGCAATAGACTGAGACTCAGGAAATCTTGGTTCAGTTCCTGGGCTGTTGAATGACCTTGGGCAGGTCACATGCCCGCTCTGGGCCTCAGTTTCCCCATCTATAAAATAGGGCTAGCCATACTGACCTCCTTTGTAAAGCGCCTTGACATCGATGGCTGAATTATTACTATTAGGTGAAGAGGTTGGAAAGTGACGAGTGATTTTTGGGGGGCCCGACCGGAGGTACCACCTGAAAATTAGGCTCCTTTCTGGTGTCTGCAGTTGAGTGCTCCTCACTTTTGAAAATCTTGATGTCTCCTTTGAGGTTTTCGAGATTCTGCTTGCCCTGGCTAGCGACAGACATAGCAGTGTCCAGCTCTGTTCCTGGCAGGGCTAGGTGACACAGTGGTAAGAATGTTAGGGGCTGGGCTACACTTTCCTGCATGCTAAGCCAGTGGTGAGAAAATCCCCTAGGTAGGCTCAGTGGAGATGCAGCCACACAGGGCTGGGAGGCTAAAATCGCTGATGTTTTGTACAGCAGTTTGAGATTCGTAGATGGAAGGTGTCGCAGGTGTGCAGCTGTATCTGGTCTAACTAAAACCCTTCGTTCGGGCCAAGAGGAGTAGCTTCATATTGGTGGTTTAAATGACTAATTGGTATCATCCATCGATGTTCAAATATCGACAATCAATTAGCAGAATGAAACAAAGAGCGCCATTTAAATCATTTTCCAGGCAGCAAGCCAGAATAGCCACTTTGCCTAGTAAAAGCCATTAACAATGGTATATTACCTCTGTCTTCAGCTGTCACATTAAGATAAATCTGAGTTGGAAATGCACCATTCAGAAATAATCACTTGGAAAATGTACAAATCTTTGGCTTTTATGACAGTCAAGTTATCATCAGCCTATTTAGAGGATATAAACCTTTCTGAAAAGGAGCCTGTAACTTGGCACTTGGGACAGGTTTCCTGCTTTTTCTGACAGAGGAAGGCTTATTAAGGTTCCTGTACTGTGGATTTCTTTTGGTCAGTTGCTCATTTTGGGTCAAATCCTCAGCTGACATCAAGTAGCATAGTCCCATTGAGAGCAAAAGTGCTATGCCAGCTGAAGATGTCAGTTTGCAATTTGGTGTCAGTTTGTAAATAGAGTTAAGTTTACTTCTTGTCCTTTTTTTTTTACTTCCATGTCTTTCTTTCTTCTGGGACCCTCACCCATCGCTAAGAGCTCTTTCTCTTTATAGAACCTGATAAGTTAGAGATGGAATAAACCTACTGGGGTCATCTACTCTTATCGCCTTACCTTTTCAAGATTATTCCTTGCAGTACCTGCACTCACTTTCATAGAGAGAAAGAAGAGGAAAAACCCAACACACGAGGGGGAGCGGTGGAGACAAAATTTTGTTGCAGTTTTGTTGATGCCCAGATACTCCAGTGATTAAAAGCATTGGAAGTGCAAAGATGGTTAAGGTTTTACTTGACAGCATTTCCTTGTAAATGTTTCCACAGCCCCATAGCTCTCGTTATGGGACTTTCCCCCTGATCTCCAGCCAGAGGTTTTCCTTTTTAATTTCATCCCATTATACCCTTGGTACTGAGCTAAATAATTCTTCTCCTTCCTTGGTGTTTATACCCTCTAAATAACCTGTAGATAGTTAAGTCTCCCCTTTGTTCACTGCTTAGCTAAGCTGTGTGCATTTATGGGCTGATTTCCAGAGGTGCTGAGCACCTGCAGATCCAGCTGGCTTTAGTGGGTGCTCAGCACCTTTGAAAATCTGAAAGTCACAGCCTAAAAGAGCCTAATGGCCCAAGGAGTTTAAGGGATGTTATGGCAGGAGACACCAGCAGGTGCTGTTACAGTCTTACCTGTTAGCTTTCTTACAGTGTGAGCAGCATACAGTCCGAAGACACGCTGTATGGTTGGTTTTGTGATGTGGAGTCTTTGGGGGAGTGGTTATAAACAGTAAGGGAGTTTGCTGTCTGGCTTAATCTCTCTAATTCTTGAGGCAGAGTTGCTCTCTGGGAACTGGGCATTGGCTGATATTTCTGAAAGAGGGGATTTGCCTGCGGGCTGCATGTGGCATTCTCTGTTTCAGCACAGGTGCCTATAGTGTGAAAAAAGAAGTTAAAGAAAGGCAGTACCATCAGTGATCTCTCCATCAATGGGAAACTGACCTGAAGAGCCCCAACAACTCATACCGCTTGGAAGAGCGGCGAAGAGGAATTAGACATACAGTTCAATGGGAGCTGGGTGCCTGATTCCTTCCAGTTCCTTTCACTATCCCAGCCTTAATCTTTCCTGAACAGTAACTCGCTCCATCTGGGGAAACCGAGGCACGGGGTGGACAAATGTGCCCCTCACCTTATTGGACTCATGAGATTTTGATGCTGTAGAACCTAGACCTTAGCCTGAACTGAACTGAATCGAAATCCAAATACTGCCTCCTACGCTTATTCCAACCAGAGCAGAGCTTTAGATTTTTATAGAGGGGTTGAAAACAAGTTTCTGAATTTTAGTTCCAAAAGCGTAAGTGTTTTGCTGTCTGCTTCTAGAACTGCGTGTTGGTGAAAGGCTTCCACGACCGATATCCCGAGGGCCCAGCGCTCATCATTGGCATTGTCCGCAGTGTGTACAAAGGGAACTACACCTGCATTGTGAGCTACACGGACAACGGAAGGACCTACAGCCTCACCAGAACCATAAGGATGAAGGTAGTAGGTAAGGAGGATAAAAAACCATGCCGAATTGTAGCAGCAGAGATGAAAAGTTCTGGAGCAGGCTCTTGCGGGCTCGATCAGTGACTGACTATTGGTCCCACCTCTGACTCCTTGGCATAAATGAATTAATTAATCTGCCACCGCCAGGTATTTCAGTTTGCTGGGGTCAGCCTCCCCTGGCATGTGAACGCCCAGGACACATCTCCGGCAGGGTGAGTCGTGTGAGTGAGGATGAGATGATCTGGGCTGGCCTCTGCTGGCATTGCCCCTGTCACGGTTGTGTATTACAGGTTAAAGTCTGTCTGTGGTGATCTCAACTCACTATTAGAAATAGTGTCTCGTTTTTCCAGTGGCTGCTGTGTGTTTCCTGCCTTCTCTCAGGCTGTCTATTTTAAAACTAGCAGGCTCATCTGTTCAGACTATAGGATCTTCAGGGCAGAGGCTGTCTCTTCAGAGCTGCCTACAGTGTGCCTCAGTCTATGTGGCAGCAAACACTATGCAGAGTGTAAAAACCTGGTAAACATGAGAACATGCTTGTGTCACGTGGTAACAGCTGCTCACTGAGGGCATGGTAGGAGGAGAGAATACTGTTGGCAGGAAAAACCAGTTTTTGTTGTTTGTTTTTTTTTTTAAAGAGCAGCAATAGAAAAATCTGTGTGATAGGCTGAACTGTAGGTAAAGTCCAAAGGGCCTAGCTGGAGGTGTGATTCCTCGGGACTGCAGCTGGGCCCAGATCATCTATCCAGATAGCCCTATAGGTGGGGGTTTTCAAAATCTGGATTGGGCATCAAGTTGTGTGACTGGGACCACTTTCTACTTAGATCAACTTCTGCCCTTTGGGACATGCACGCAACTCTCAGCACCTGCAGCGGGAGATGGGTACGCACATCTGGGGGCGCAGGGGGTGAATGACCCTGGTGTGCAGTCACAGATGGTAGAGTATATGCAAGTGGCTAGTTACTGTAAGATAGTCTGAAATAATTCCAAATCCTAATGAAGACTGACTGTGTTTTCAACTGGGACCCCGGCGGGGGGGATTCTGTTTTCTGTTCTGCAGGGTCTCCAGCCAAGGCAATGCCACCGCAGTTTAGCTCTCCAAATGAGAAAATAATCTACGAACTCGAAGCAGGTAAATCACAGTGGTAGCTGCCCACGGGAAGCCTACATGCATTGATGGGGAAGATTATCTTAAGCCATGTAATTAACAAGCACAGAGGTTCATCTCGGTTGCCTGCTTTCCCACGGCTTTCCTTCGTGTCTTTACTTGAAGCATATGGGGCGCCGTGATTGCTTTGCAAGCAGCATGGGATTCTCTCTCTTTTCTGTAGCTTCCAAATTGCCGAAGCCCAATTATGGGACATGAGAACACAGCTTAAGAAGGCTCTTTGAGCATACAGACTTACTGAAATAATAAACATGGAAATCAGGCTCCAGCTGGTAGGAGCAGCTTCAGAAGCAGAGAAAGCACCGGAGAGAAGGGGGTAAAATGGGGCACAGCTGGGGTCGTGCCTTCCTCAGAAGCGGCCAAGGCAGGGATCTGCAGACATTCAGAGAACTTTCTGCAGGTTTGACTGGACTTTCTCTGCCCCGTGCTGATTGTCTGGTTGTGCTAATCCTCCCCTCACATAGTCTCCTTAGCTCATCTTCACTCCACACCTGCCCTCTCCCCCACCCCTTTCTTTCCATTTAGTCAGTCTCCTCCTAAAATCGTGCCCACCCTCACATAGTTCACTCTGCTGGTGTGTTTTCCCGCTTCCCCGGCGCTGTGCGTGTCTGGTCTCTATAGATTGCTAGCTCTGCAGGGCAGGGACTGTCTGGTACTCTGGGTTTGCACAGCACCTAGCCCATTCTTCATTGGTCCTTAGGCACCAACAGCTTCTGGAAGCTGCAGTATTGCAAATAATAAACATGATTCATAATAATGAGGAAGATGTTGTCCTGAAGGACTGGATTTGGAGATCTGAGTTCAATCCCTGCTCTGCCACAGACATCCTGTGGGACCTTGGGCAAGTCATTTACTCTCTCTGTGCCTCAGTTCCCCATCTGTAAAATGGAGACAATAGCCCCGTCTGGCCTCCCAGGACTGCTGAGAACAAACCAATTATTGTGTGTGTGGCCATTGTGATGGAGTTCACTCACAGCTAGGGGTGCCTCCTCCTGGCCGCTCTGGAGACCAGCACTGTCCAGGGCCCCCTTCTTCTGCTTGCTGCACATCCTACTTCTGCGCTCTCAGTCTCTGCGACCGGGTGCTCCTTCTTCGTGACTTGGCCCTCAGGCCAGGTCACTATGTGCGCTTCCCCTTTGTGGGATGTCAGTCTCTTCAAAAGAATGGGCTCAGGCCATCTTCCCCTTCACTGCCCAACTGGTGCCACTTCCCCAGTGGCAGGTAGGGGAACCCAGGCCCACCCTCTACTCCGGCTCCCGGCTCAGTGACCCTGCAGTCAGCAGCCCCAATCTGCTCCACCCTGGACCTTGCTGCCTTTTCCCTGAGCCCTTCCTTACCTTCTGGCTCTCCCCACTTCTCTGGGTTTGCCAGCCCCACAGCTCCCTGTTCCCAGGGGGTAACCGCAGGCTACTTGCCTCTGTAGCCCTCAAACGCACCTCCCTTCCCCCTGGCAGTGACTGCAGGCTGCTTCCCTGCAGCCCCCTCTGTTATCAGCTTCCTGCCTTTATGAACCCAGCCCATTCCTCCTCAGGGCTTCCTCATCCAGTCAGGGGGTTACTTCAGCCTCCTGATTGCCCTCAGCTATGGCTTGGCTGGTTGATTGGCCCCTTTCTTAGCCTACATTAACCCCTTCAGGGCCAGTGTGGGGTGAAGACCCCATCACAGGCACGCACAACGTGGTGGTAGGAACCACTTAAGTACCTGGTTAGGGAGAGATTTGTTTGTTTGTTTACTGTTTATTTGTAAAACAAAAGTGAAATATTCCCACTGTTACAGTTATCAGACATTTGAAAATATATTTTGGCCACATTCCTGTTAGCTTTTGTGTCTTTTGCTAGTTTCTCTTCAGAATCTTTTTTTGGCCTGCCTGATTATACTTTTACACTTGACTTGCCAGAGTTCATGCTCCTTTCTATTTCCCTCAGTAGGATTTGCCTTCCAGTTTTTAAAGGATGTCTTTTGATCTCTAACTGCCTCTTTCACTCTGTTGTTTAGCCATGGTGGCATCTTTTTGGTCCTCTTACTGTATTTTTTATTTGCAGTGTACATTTAGTTTGAGCCTCTATTATGGTGTTTTGAAAAAGCTTCCATGCAGCTTGCAGACATTTCACTCTTGTGACTGTTCCTTTTCATTTCCATTTAAACTCGGGCTATAAGAGGCTCTGGAAAGCAGAAGCTGCTGCGTCCACCCTAATCCTCTTCTCCTAGGTGCCGACCTTGTTCTGCCCTGCGAAGTCTACTTCACCTTTCTGAAGGACTCCCAAACGGAGGTCTGGTGGACTGTTGATGGAAAAAATACAGACGATATCACAGACATGAAAATAAAAGTCTCCGAAAGGTAATGTTTCATAAGAAGGACGTTCATTGTATATCTCTTGCAGCCCTCTCCGCTAGCTGCACATGGGATCCCACAGAGAGGCCTGGGGTATTCAGCAGCACTGCCCCTGTTGGCAACACCTAGAGCTCCCAATAGGAAAAGACTGTTCAGGTTATTGGCAAGTCCCAAACGTTAGGAGCCAAGGGTCAAACGTTTCTTAGTGTTAGTCAGATCAAATCACTCCCGGGTGCAATGCAGCACCTGTGCGTAGTTATGATACTTAACCATGATCTGCTCATTGTTTGTCACCAAGTTTTCTTTTAAAAGAGACATCATTAAGATGCTCCATAAGCTAAAGAGGGCTCATCATTGGTAATAGCATCGCAAACTGGCTAGTGTGAGCCACTGCCCTCTAATGGAGCATAAGGGAACTGCATTGCTGTGTGTCAAAGACTCTGTATTGTTAACAACAAAGGGAGGCTCTCTCTTTACGTGAGACAGTTGGTTTTGGAACAGGAGGATGTGAGGCCCTTCCCCACCATCCTCACAATGACCTGTTGAGAGCAATAGATTTGTTACAGTATCTTCCATTCCCTGTTATGTTTTTCATCCTGGAGGGTGCCAAAGTGCTTTATGACATATTTACAGAGATCATGTTGTAATGAACCGTGACTCGTGCATATGCACATGAACTGCAAGTGCAGATTGAACCACTCCCGCCCCGCCAAGACATTAGCACCAAGTACACAAGTCATTACTCCTTGAAATGAAGAACTCCCATAGCTGTGAGATGGCAGCATCCTGGGACCAGCCACTAGAGGGAGACATGGTCACATTCTGTTATTACAGCTTCTCCCGCCACTGGAAAGAAGCCGCCGAGGTGTAGAATATAGCAAGTATGCACAACATTTTAGGACCGGAAGAGAGGAGCAACACCCACTGGAAACTGCCGGGGCGCTGCGGATAGGTTGAAAGTAACGACCCAAACAGAACTTGCAAGGGCTCATAAAAAGTGCTACAAACTGTTTGGAAAACTCTGTTCTGCAGCACAGCACCCCTTAGCACAGTGGTTCTCAACTCTGGTCCACCGCTTGTGCAGGGAAAGCCCCTGGCGGGCCGGGCCGGTTTGTTTACCTGCCGCGTCCGCAGGTTTGGCCGACCGTGTCTCCCACTGACTGCGGTTCACCGCTCCAGGCCAATGGGGGCTGCAGAAAGCGGCGTGGGCCGAGGGACATGCTGGCCACCCTTCAAGCGGTGGACCAGAGTTGAGAATCACTGCCCTAGCACCAGGCTAGGCCCTTCATTCCGTGCTGACTCAGAGGCCAGAATACCATCTTCAGAATCACCCAACAACACCCTGTAGCAGCTGGGATTTCCTTGGAGATGTCTCGTCATGATGTTTAGGTTTAGCATTGCTTGTGTGGGGTCAGGTTAGCATCTACCAGCGGTTTATAAAGAACTGGGTGACTGGTCGTGGGATTTTTGTGTTTGTTTTTTTCCAAACTGTTAGAGGAATTAAAAACCAACTATTAATTTGCCATGCTTTCAAATCCACCTTGGCTTTCGGTTCTAACATTTGGACAGTCATCATTTTGTTCATAAGAATATTAATAAATATGATGGGTAGCAGAATCAGTCCATAATTAGCTTGGGGATGAAGCAGAATTCGTTTGAAGATGAGCATTATTATCATTAGAATGCCATGTACGTAAAAAGGCAGGCCATACTTACAGGATGGGAGACTATCCTGGGAAGCAGAGACTCTGAAAAAGATTTGGGGGTGGGGGTAATCAGCTGAACATGAGTTCCCTGTGCGATGCTGTGGCCAAAAGAGCTAATGTGATCCTGGGATGCAGGGGAGGGGGATATAAAGTAGTAGAGAGGTTATTTTACATCTATTTGTGGCACTAGTGTGCAACCGCTGCTGGAATAGTCTGTCCAGTTCTGGTGTCCACAGTTCAAGAAGGATGGTGATAAATTGCAGCGGGTTCAGAGAAGAGCCACGAGAATGATTAAAGGATTAGAAAACCAGCCTTACAGTGATAGACTCAAAGAGCTCCATCTATTGAGTTTAACAAAGAGAAGGTTAAGGGATGATTTGATCACAGTCTATAAGTACCTATATGGCAGACAAATATTTAACAATGGGCTCTTCAATCTAGCAGAAAAAGGTAGAACACGATCCAATGGCTAGAAGTTGAAGCTAGACAAATTCAGACTGGAAATAAGGCGTAATGTTTTAACAGCAAGAGTAATTAACCATTGGAACAGGATTATGGTGGATTCTCCATCAGTGACCATTTTTAAATCAAGATAGGGTGTTAGTCGAGAAAATCTGCTCTATAAATGATTTGGGGCAAGTTCTCTGGCCTGCACTATACAGGAGGTTAGACTCAGTGACCACAACTCTCCCTCCTAGCTTTGGAATTTGTGCCTCTCTGACTAGGTGTTACAGTAGCACATAGAGGTTTCAACCAAGATTGGGGGTCCAGTGTGCTGGTTGTTGTACAGATACATATTAAAGGACAGACTTGTCTTAAAGAGTTCACAAACTAGACAGACAAAACAAAGTGGAGAAGAAAGGAAATCTTTTTATCCCCATTTTAGAGATGGGTAATTGAGGCACAGAGAGACTAAATGACTTGCCCAGGGTCCCACAGAAAGTTTGTGATGAAGGTGGGTACTAAACCCAGATCTCATGAGTCTTTGTCCAGTGCCTTATGGCAAGCCCACCCTTCCCCTCTAAAATGCCCCAGGACACCAGTTGATCAATCATATTCCTCACACTGGCAATAAGCAAAAGTAATGCCAAGAAATTTAAACAAAACCAGTTCACAGAGGAACCAAAAGGTCAAACTGTTCTGCTGTAAAAGTTTTTGTGAAAAATGAAGCAATTCCTAAATATGGGTGTGATTTGCAAAAAAGGAAAGGCTGAATTCTGTGTGTGTGTGTGTGTGTGTGTGTTAAAAAAATCACAAACAGTGCAGCCAGTGTTAGCATGTGTAATCCTTTTAACTTTTCTGTTCCAGTGTCTCTACTACCGAACTTGGACACAAGGACATCACAAGGACTCTGACCATTTCCAAGGTCACACCCGAGGACTTGAAGCGCAACTACACCTGTCATGCCAGAAACACCAGAGGAGAGGTTCACCAGACGGCCATGGTGGGAATGAAAGGTAATGGAATTGCACAGCAGCGGCTTAACGGATGCAGCAAAGCAAAAATCATAGACGCATGGTCGAATGTGGAAGAAATTTCTTGGGGCAAGATGGGCCTTGGCTGAATGCGGTCATACAAGGGAATAGGGGGAGTAAATATTTCCTGCTCCCTCTGCTCCTGTGTAGCCTTCTTATTGCTACCCACATTGCACTTCCGGCTCTAGGGAAGAGAGTAGAGGCTGCATGCCTGATATTCCCTACTGCGCTCAAGTGGGTATGAAGAAAGATGGGGTGTGGAACCATGGTTCTATTCCCTCCAGGCAGCAAGTGGAGCAGGGCCAAAGAGACTAGTAAGTTGCACCCTGAAAGGAAGGAAAGGACGAACTCTCCCTCAAAGCAAGGGAGAATTCCGTCTGTCACGGTTCCCTGCTCCTGCTACTTCTGGCTGGCGCCGCGACTTGTCACCCTTCTACAGGGCTGAGCCTAAAGGCTCAACCTAGCCCTCAGGGACCAGGGGCTCATGGTGTTCTGCCCCAGGTGTTTTCGAGTTCAGGAGCCGGAACCAGGTTGTTACACTATGTCAGCTGTCAGACCCTTTCGGAGGCGCCATCCAGTTGTTCTTTAGACGTCTGTTATCTCCTTGGTGCATGGACACAGTTCCCATTTATCTCTGTACCACGGGAGGAGAAGATACATCCTGCAGCAGCCAAATTTGATGGCTTTTCTATGTTCATTTCTGCTGACCAAGCTGGGCTGTGTGGGAAGCTGCAGCCTTCTTTGTACTCTGACCCTTCTTTTAAAGCTCAATATCCCAGACACTAAACTACATAAATCATTCTGCCCTAAATGATGGAAGGATATTTTCTTCCAACTCCGTGCCAAGTGGTACATGCAGTGGGTGCTGTCAGCACAGGATGGGGGAGCATTTGCTGAGGCATGGCAGTTCTGGACTGTGCACCAGAAAATCAAAAAAACCATGGGCTGATTAGACTTCCCGGTTGAACTATGCACTGACCTTCCCGTTGGACTCTAGCAATGGTCACTGTCCCAGGCCCTGCTCAGGGTCTTTTCCCCTGCTTTAAACGTGCCACAGCTTTGCAAGAGGGTCAATGGAAACTCGTCATGGGATGAGCACACAAGTTCTTCTAACCAAAGCTATTCATCCCTGTTAAACACGGCATTTTTAGTGTGGGGTGACCCATGCCCTATGCATCAGTAGAACAGGCCCCTGAGTCTGGACTTCACTTAAAGAAACAACTTTAGCCAGTGTCATATAACTGCCCTTCACTAGGAAACCCTAATCTGAACAACCTCTCTAACCCTGGGGCCTCTTTGAAGACAAAAGACGTTGGCAGTCTCTCATTATGGGTTTCCTGGCAGAGTGTCCCTGAGGCAGATCACCACCTTACTGTTTCCCCACCAGTGTGACCGGACAGACAGGAAATGCCTTTTGGAAGTTGCTGTGCTTGAAGCCCTTCAAGGTCACTTTCCTTTGAGATTCCCAGATGGAAACTAGACAGACCTCAGAGCATGAAACACTCCTCACAGCGCTCTGGTTTTGGTCCCTGCCTTGGCTACTGTTGGAGGGTGATCTAGAGAGCCATTGCCAGGACTGTGGGCAAATTCTGGATAAAAAGTATAATTCAGAGAAAAAGCTGACTTTTTTTAGAGCTGTTTCTCGCTTAACCTGAGTGGTATTTTTCCTGTTTCACACACCCATCTCACAGCAGCCAAAACCCTTTCTTCAGGTATGTCCGCACCAGGTTTCCTTAGCTGGGCAGACATTTCTGTTACCTCACTATCCTCCAGTGGGTGACAGCACTGTACACAGAAGGCCTGAGAGACTGCCCGGCTGCACATCAGGAAAGACTGCTGTTTCTAAGACGCTCCACCAGAGAGGAGTCTGCCCTGGTTTAACATATTTCAAATGCAAGATGCCAAAAAATAGCCTTTTCCTGACTTAAGTCGAACAACTCTGTGGCTCCTGCTCTGCCCTACTCTCTGTCAACATGAGGAGTCGTCCTCTGGATTTCAGAGATCTTCATTAGGAAGACACTTGGCTCCTCAAATGTTATACTCTGCTGCCGCCAGGGTTGCTGGGAGAGTAGACATGATGGACCCAAAGGAAGGCTTTCCTCACTAATGACCACTTTGCATCTGTTTTCACCCCTTTTTCTTTGTCTTGGGTGGACAATTCTACAATCTTTGTGTGTCCCTTCAGAAAGGAGCCCCAGACAGAGCATGCAATTAATCAAGGGCAGAGTTTGGTTAGAGCCATTTATCTGCCTACCTTAAGCTTTTCTCTAGCAGTCATCACTGTAGTGTCTATGCGCTTACTTCTTGTATATGGATAGGGAAATTGAGATGCATGGCATGCTGGCCCTTTGTTTAGAAAACAGCCCTCCAGGACCTCACAGAATGCTGTTTCTTGGCTGACTGATGCTTGACTGTCTGCAACTATCTCTCTTTCCCTCCTGTCCACTTTGCCAGACCCCAGGATAGTTGACTGGAAGCTTCTCTTTCTGTAGACAAGTTACTTATGTCTTCTTTTTTCTTTCTGCTCCATTCCACAGCAGAATGCAAGAGCCAGCCTGGATCACTGCAGGCTAAAGTCAACTAGCTGCAGACCATCACATCATGCCACTCGCGGCTCAAGATGGCCAGGACCTAACCTCTCAGTACCATTTGCCTTATAAATGTTAGCAAGTGGGCTTGTATTTCTTTTATGTTGGCTATGAAAAAATTCCCTCCTCTCCCTGCCACTGGTTTATATTCATTTCTGGCTCCTGGTTTTATTCTTCTTGGGATTGTCTCTTTCACTGTTTCCTGTATCTCTTGTACTGTTCGCTACCCATGGAGACTTGCTGGATTCTTTCAGTTTCTGTTTTCTCTTTCTGGTGGTTTGGTTTGTTGGCTAATAAAGCTCAGTTACATCCACGAGTTTTGTGATGCTTCCACTTACTGCTGATGGCTCTCTATTCAAACTGCCACTGTGCATGTCACTTAGTCCAGCTGTGCCCATTAAAAGGTCAGTATTTGCCGAGGGATTCCACACAGTTACCACGTTAATTCGTATTCTAAGGATGAGGAAAAACAGGGGCATCTCAAATACTACTGTTAGCAAACGCTGGCTTCTTGAGAGAGTCTGTCTTGTTTAGGACAGGTCATCTTACCTCTTTGCAAACAGTTCAGTCTTTCCAGTGTTTTCTCAGAGCCTTCCTTCTGTCTTGTGACTAGAAACAGTCGGGGGTCAGGCGGCTTTCACAATCGTACCCTCTGAGGCCAGCGTGAGCCTTTGGGCCCAGCCCAGAGTGACGGCCGTCCTGCGGCAGAAAGGAATTGGGACTCGGAGATTCCTCCCTGGCCTTCTGTCTTGCTCCGGGAAGATGTGGGGAGTGATTTACTTCACCCATCTTCAGTGTCTGTATGGGCAGCAGAATTAGCCCTTCAGTCATTTCAGTTCCCCTTCAATTGCCTCCTTCATGTTGCAACCGCCCAACCCCCTAAAACTGCCCACGGCTCGCGCGTGCGTGTGTGTACTTATTTAGGCATTAGCCTTTGATGTCCTACAGGAACCTCCATTTACAGATGGGCTCACATTGTGTTATGCCCTTCGGCTGCCTGTGATCCAGCCATGTGCCCATTAAAATGGAAGCCCAGTGTATTCCATGAAAAAAGATCGATCTGTTTTTAACCCCAGTTCTAGCTCCAAGATACACTGTGGAATTGGCCTGTGGACTGGGAGCCACCGTCTTGCTGGTGGTGATCCTGATCGTCGTCTACCACGTTTATTGGCTCGAAATGGTTCTCTTCTACCGGGCTCACTTTGGAACGGATGAAGCCATTCTTGGTAAGGGTTCCATGGGGTTACAACACCTGCTTCTTGCTGCTAGTCACTTTGGTTCTGGAGATAACTTTTGTGGCAGGCCATTTCTACCCCCTACAGAAGCAGGGTAACACTGACCCTAAATGTCCTTAACTGTTTTCACTTTTCTGGGTGAACTGAATGCTTGCGAGAGGAGCCAGAGGCAGGGTCTAGGAGGGTATCCTTGGAGTAGGTGCGGTGTGGCCATGATAATGTAAGCTCTCCGCACATTGCTCCATTAAGATCCCTCATGGGACCATCTCGAGGGACAGGGCTATGTTGTCCTGTCTTTGGCCTCTCTGCTAAGGGTGTGGAAAGAACAGTCTTCTGTCTTGAGCACAGAATCAGGCTTCTTATGTCACTCTGAGCTCATCCCCCAGGCACGCCACATCGCTGTTTCTTCCTATGGAAAACTGGGATGATAGTAGGTCCCTGGCTGGAATGGCAGGTTTGCTGCTGATCCAGTGAAGGTGTGCCAGGCGCTTTGAGTCCCGCTGAGGCTAGAGAAGCGCAAAGCCTTGTCTGGCGAGATGGCTCATAGGTACAGGTCCGTGGCACCTGTAAGACTCGAGAGCCAGCGGGGGAGGTGGGGACTGAACAATGGGGGAAGGCATGGACCGTAGCCAGTAACAGAAGTGTCTCTCTGCTCCCGACTCTCAGATGGTAAGGAGTATGACATTTATGTGTCCTATGCCCGGAATGCCGAGGAGGAGGAGTTTGTGCTGCTGACCCTGCGTGGAGTCCTGGAGAACGAATTTGGATACAAGCTGTGTATCTTCGACAGAGACAGCCTCCCCGGGGGAAGTAAGTATGTCACGGGGGATGCCCACCATTTATGCCCTTCCCCTTAATTATGTTGGAGGCCGTCGTGATGGAGAGGAGGGTGATAACGAACTGGCCTTTCAAAGCAACGTCCCCCACTCCATTAAACATCCCTCAGAGCAGATTCTGGTGTCTTGCTTCATGTGAAGTTGCACTCAGCTGCAAACACTTCGAGCTAGTGTGTGTGGGGGGGTGCTGCCAGGGTCAAATGACAATGGGTATTTTTCAATGCTCTTTCCAGGAGGTGTGCTGTACAGTGCTCTAAAAGCACCACAAGGCAACCAGCCCCCATCCTTAATTAAAATTTATGAACTGGCCTAAGGAAGGGAGGATAAAGTTATGGGTGTGGACTGAGGAATAGGGGAATTATTACACTAGCCCTGATCAGTAATCCATCCAGTGCATTACCATGTCACTGACAGTGGCTAGCACCCTCTGTGTCAGAGGAAGGTGCAATAAATCCTGTTGTAGCAGTGATGGGATTATCAGTCCCCAGGGAAAGTTTCCTACTAATCCCCATTAGTTAGAGATCAGCTCATACCCTGAAGCACGTCTATCCTTAGTAAATATCAGCATATTAATAACCCTGAATAGCAAATACTACATTTGTATTTATTGGGAGCCCACCCTTTAATGATGGACAGGGCCAAAGGGCTCCACACCCGGGAGTGGCCAAATCCAGGACACTCCTCGGATCAGTTGTACAAACCTGGGGTTGCCGAAGCAAAGATGCAAGAACAGCCTGTGCTCCAAATGCCCCATCTCTTGGGGAATCCCACATGGCTACAGGGCACAGAGGGTGCCAGAACCTCAGTCGGAGGCTAGATAAGGGCCACAGCCATTGAAGTCAACGGAAAGACAGCTCTTGACTTCAGAGGGCTTTGGGTGAGGACCCGGTTATGTCAGAACGTGTGCTGGTAAAAATCACTAGCTAGGTTGTTCCAAAGTAGAGGCTTGCGCACTCAGGTAACCCAAACCAGGAGTGATTCCCCAGTCTGAGCCAGCTGTAAGGGAGATCAGAATCAGACCCTGGGTCCTTTTGCTCTCCTAATCTCATGCAGAGTCCATTGACAAGGTGTTTGGGTGCCACTCCTTTGACATATAAGAAAGCAAAGATGAATCCCCAAGTGGGTGACGAGGTAAAGCCACTGGGTGGTTGGTCAATGCAAAGCCTGCATGAAGAGGCGAGCCGTACGCCGGCTTGTTTGTTTTTGCCAATGGTCAGGTTCAGGCAGATGCTGGGAAGGAGCAGGCTCCTGCAGCCAGCCCTGGATAGTTCTGTTCAGCAGCTGTTCACTCTACATTGACAGATCATCTGGCCCTTTACAAAAACTTACAGTTTTATAGCGGGCTCCAATCCTGACTGGGGGCTTTGGGCACTGACTCAAAGTGAAAATAGCAGGTTAGTTCAGCCCCTGCAAAGTGCCAGACAGCTGAGGGAGGGTTTGGTGACAAACCCTGACAATTTAAGTTTTTTGTTTTTTTCTAGGCTAAATCTTCAGGGTTTATTCTACTTCTTAACACAATGTTGAGGCGGCCGTGGGCTAAAAAGTGCAGTTCTGTGCTGAGAAGAAACTCTGTAAACTTGGCATCTCCTTCCGCAGCAGATCTGCTCCTGGTGCCTGTTAGCAGTCGGCTCAGCAAATTGATATTTTTATTGTTTTCTGCTCCAGTTCACCTTGCAGAGCTGATGTTGCTCTGGGAGAAAGAGGTTCTGTCCCTTCTTGTGCATCAGCAAGATTGATTCATTAAGTTCCAGTCGTGTGTTGGCACAGGTGTCACTGGAAGGCATAATTCAGCCTCCTGTGTCTTTATTGCTGGTGGTGATGTACAAGAAGGAAAGAATCCAGCTTGGCTCTCAGATCCCAGGTAGGTTTTGCAGGGCTGGCAGTTACACAAAAAAATTATTTGCGGACAGGTAAGTTGAAGTCCTTGAGAGGCGATAAACATGGAACCCACAAGGTCATTTTTGCAGTAAGCTCCAGGTAGAGCAGTTCATTAAGGGTGAGATGTGGCTATGTGGCACAAAGCCAGAACCAAGGTCCCGTGGCCCCAGTGTAGGAACAATGATGGCAGGAACAGGGTAGGCCCACATTGTAGGAACATGAATGGGAGGCTCCTCACTCGATGAGGAGGGAAAGACAGTAACAGAAAATGAAAGTACTCCACTTAGGAAGGAATAATCAACTGCATAAATACAAAATGGGAAACAACTGCCTAGGAAGGAGTATTGCAGAAAAGGATCAGGGAGTTATAGAGGATCACTGACTAAATATGAGTTAACAATGTAACACTGTTGCCAAAAAGGTGAACATCATTCTGGGATGTATTAGCAGGAGTGTTGCAAACAAAACACGAGAAGTAATTCTTCTGCTCTATTCGGCGCTGATAAGACCTCAGCTGGAGTACTGCATCCAGTTCTGGGCACCATACTTCAGGAAAGATGTGGACAAATTGGAGAAAGTCCAGAGGACAGCAACAAAGATGACTAAAGCTCTAGAAAACATGACCTGTGAGGGAAGACTGAAAAATTGGGATTGTTTAGCCTGGAGAAGAGACAACTGAGTGGGGACATAACAGACTTCAAAGACATAAAAGATTGTTAAAAAGAGGAGGGTGATAAATTGTTCTCCTTACCCTCCAAGGATGGGACAAGAAGCAATGGGCTTAAATTGCAGCAAGGGAGGTTTAGGTTAGAAATTAGGAAAAAATATCCTAACTGTCAGGATAGTTAAGCACTGGAACAAATTACCTGGGGAGGTTGTGGAATCTCTATCATTGGGGGGTCCTTAAGATTAGACAAACACCTGTCATGATGGTCTAGATAATACTTAGTCCTGCCTCAGTGCAGAGAGCGGGACTAGATCAGTGGTTCTCAAAGCCGGTCCGCCGCTTGTTCAGGAAAAGCCCCTGGCGCACCAGGCCGGTTTGTTTACCTGCCGCGTTTGCAGGTGCGGCCGATCGCGGTTCCCACTGCCCGCGGTTCACTGCTCCAGGCCAATGGAGGATGCGGGAAGGGCGGACAGCACGTCCCTCGGCCCCTGCCACTTTCCACAGCCCCCATTGGCCTGGAGCGGGGAACCGCAGCCAGTGGGAGCCGCGATCGGCCGAACCTGCGGACGTGGCAGGTAAACAAACCGGCCCAGCCCGCCAGGGGCTTTCCCTGAACAAGCAGCGGACCGGCTTTGAGAACCACTGGACTAGATGACCTATTGAGGTCCTTTCCAGGCCTACATTACTGTAATGAAGCCAACATTATAGCATTTATAGCATTATAGCATTCTGCCCAACATGGGCAGAATGTTTCCAGAGCAGATTGGCCGGTTGCTTTAGGAAATGCTTAACTGTTTCCTTTCCTTCTGGTGTCAGTCCCAGATGCCCATTAACAGACTACTCTCTTCCCTGCCTCGTTATGGTTCACGTCTCAGCTCATTATGTTCCACAGCTATTTTATATCAGCAGGAAGGACAGCTCTGCATCTGACCTACAGCTCCACTGTTCTGTTCGTGCCTTGCTCTCAAACGGTGTGGGCTGCTGTATTCTCTCATAACCCAGCAAATGCACATTCTCCTTGGGAACTAACTATAAATCGTCCTCTGCCTTTCACTCTGGTGTTCTCACCCCCTTTCTCTCCATGTGCGATATCACCCACTCTGCCTCCTCGGGGACTGGTCCAGTTCAAAAGAACAGAGCATCTTTCATCTCAAAGGGTCCCAAAGCGCTTTCCAAACAGCAGGCCCAGGGATTGCTTCATCCGCCTCGGGTGCAGAACCCAGGGGTTGTTTAGCAGCACCACTGTGCGGCAGTTCAGCACAGGACATGAGGAATATCTTATCCATATGAATCGCCTGCAATGAAAAGTGCCATGGGAATTTCAATGACTGCTGGTGGCGAGTGTGTGAAGGTGGCATTTCCAGCAGCATGGTGCCCTCATGCCGCACCAGTACAGCGTGACTCAGTGGGACAGTCATCTCTAGAGCTGGCCAAAAGTTATTCACAAATTTCAATACATGATTCAAATTACTTGGTGAATGTTTTTTACTGTTATTCAGCCAGCTCTAACCAGCATCTGCTGACTGGCCAGCACCACTCCCTGCAGCCCCTAGCCAATCCATGGCACTCTTCCAGCGAAGAGTTGATACAGCCTTTCTCTCCTCGCCTTGTAAGGTCTGGCAGGATCATATCTGAAGGTGGCAGGTCTGCAGGCAGACAGCGTATCCTGCCCTCAGGGCAAGCCTGATCCTCTTCCTAAATTCTCTAGAGAGAGAGAGAGAGAGAGAGAGAAGCAGCAGGGACCTGTTTAAAAAAATCAAGAGCTAAAAGAAATAAATCAGCTAAGTCCAGCACGATAGCTCAGCCGTGCACTGTGCTAGGAACTCCTGGTGGGGCAGAGCTGTCAGTCGAGCTGAGCCGTAATGTGGGTAATTGCAGAGTAGTCGTCTCTTTGTGTCTGATCTGCTGGGCTCTTCACTGTGTGTCCTTGCACAAAAAGAAAAGCTCCTTGTTTAAATCCCCCGTGTGGCATGGTGACGTCTGCCACTGCGCATCTGGCGACACCCATCACCAGGCGACTGGCCACTCCTCTGCCTTGTCTGAAGAAGTGAATCCAGTGCATGGGTCAAACAAGCGTGGCCCCAAGCTGCCTGTGGCTGCTTCCAGCACCAGCCTCTGCGATGTGGCTCCAACCACCTGTGCCGTGCTCCGGAAGCAAAGACCCTGAGCGTGCCACGGGGACGTGTGGAACAAGGAGTGCAGAAAAGGGCTTCCCTCACCCTCATGCTCCCTTGCAAAAGTGTTTTTAAAATGCATCGGCCACCTCCTATGCCAAAACAAGAGAATGTGCCCCAGAAGTTAGTGACGCTCAGTGTGTGAGCACTAGTCCCCACCACACATCCGCCTCTGGCGTGGACAGTGGAGTGGCTGGTATCAGCGCAGCCCGTCTCTTGGGGTGACCAGGGGAGCCAGATTTGCTAAACACGGCT